TTTTGATACAGCCTGGTTACTGGAAAAGTTGTGAGTACTTTATGGACCTCTCAGACTTTTTGATGTTCCCACCGAGAGTTAATTTACGGTTAATTGTGCAGCCATACAGTGGGCTCTCTAAATAAGAAAAGTGTCCCATAAAGGCTGAAGAAAACGGTGTACTTCATAATTTTCACAATGACATTTGAGAAGCGGTACAGCATAGAGGTCCCCATTTAATTTAATGTATCAACTTGGAGATTTCAGGTCTCGCCACTGCTCTCTTAGTTGCAAGCTAGCATTTAGTTTAGTTTCAGCTGCATAAATAAACCAAATAACTCATATAGACACTCTTTTCCAATGCTCGAAGAGGGCTGGTGATCACACACTTGTTTGTACAAGCAGCTTTCATAAACTGCCTGCTGTCTGTACTAGACAGTCTTCCCCATCACTCTCATAAACCAAAGATATCACTATCAGTATTAACTTTGGTGCATATAGTTTGTTTTGTCCAACAACTGTCCATTCACAACAACACCAATCACGCATTGCTTGATTTTGTGCGAGTTTTAGGAATTTGAATATATAATTAAACATATATACTTGAATACCTTTTACTTGTATCCATTAGAGAAGGGGTTTTCAAACCTGTCCTGGAGGCTTATGTCTCCCTCATCTAACACAAATGATTCAACTCATCAGCTCTAGTAGAGTTTTCAAGACCTGAATTAGGTGTGTCTGATTAGGAAGACATACAACATGTGCAGGGCTGGAGATCCTTCCAGGACAGGTTTGAAAACCCCTTGATTAGAGCAAATCATAAAATTTAGCAAATTAATCAAGTTCCATGTTGAGAGGTCCCTGTTTCACCAACCCTAATCAAACACACCTGAACAAACTAATCTTGAGGATTACTCAAAAATTACAGGGAGGTGTGTTTGATCAGGGTTAGACCTAAACTTTGAGTATGAGGCTACGTCCACATGAAGCCAGAGCTTTATCTATCCAATCTTTTTTTCCCCCTCATCTCAAGAAATATCTACATCCACATGAAACCACGAAACTGACACAAAACAATGTAGTATACATGCCAGACCAGCAAGTAGCGCTATAATTCTGCCACAGAGATACACTAAAAACAGAGAAGAAGACTTGGACTATGCGCATAAACCTTACGCATGGTATACAAACGAGCATGGAACAATACATTTATTAATCTGTGTTAATGTTAGTTAATAAAAAGACAATTGTTCAGTGTTTGTTCATGTTTTTTTTGCTGTTACGTGACGTAGCAGTGTCTGACTAGGGGCGAGATGTGGGCTGATGACTGTCCACACGAAAACGCAAGGGTGGCGTTTTCAGATTTATCCACTCTGGGACCCGGTTTAAAAAAAATAGTTAAACATGAGCGGAATACAAACACCAAAACCAAACGACCAGAAGACCATAGACCTGCAGTCAAATTGTTGTTGACCTAGTGGGGGAGAACTGCATAAAAATTTTCTCCTCAGTTGTTGTTTAATCAATAATTCCTACTCTAAATTGCACATCAGGATACTTTAAAGGGGTAGCGCACCCCAAAATGAAAAATTGCTGTTAATTTACTCACCCTCAGACCATCCAAGATGTTGGTGATTTTTGTTCTTCAGCAAAACAGTAAAGAAGTTTATTTATTTATATATTTTTAGCTGAAACCATTGTCCTTGGTGGTTCTAAAAGTGTTAAGTCAGTGGCTAATGGCACTTGAGTCAAAAAAACATGCACAGGACAAAATTAATATACATGCCTCCAGACGACATATTGAGGTCTTATACATTTAGATTTACATTTATTCACACATTGCAGATGCGAGCTGCAACCGGTAGCCAGTGCAATGGCACAATGGAAGTCCTGCCAGAAGAGCATTGCAGTAGTCCAGCCTAGAAATGACAAGGGCCTGGACAAGTTGTGCAGCATGCTCCGTTAGGAAGAACCTGATCATTCTGATGTTGTGCAATACAAACCTGCAAGATCGAGAGGTTTTTGCAATGAGATCTTTGAAAAGTCAGCTGCTCAGCAAAGATTACACCAAGATTTCTGACCGAACTTGATGGGGTAATTAATGATGAACCTAGCTGGATGGTAAAATCATGCTGTAGAGCAGGTGTGCCCAACCCTGCTCCTGGCGATCGACTGTCCTGCAAAGTTTAGCTCCAACTCTAATCAAAGACACCTGCCTTTAATTTTTAAGTGATCCTGAAGACCCTAATTAGTTGCATCAGGTGTGTTTGATTAGGGTTGGAGCTGAACTTTGCAGGACAGTCGATCGCCAGGAGCAGGGTTGGGCACCCCTGCTGTAGAGTCTGAGAGGCAGGGAAGACGAGAAGCTCAGGCTTTGCGAGGTTGAGCTGTAGGTGATGTTCTTTCATCCATGCCAAGATGTAAGCCAGGATGACTTAGGATGCCTTTTTTTACTATCAAGTTCTGGTCGCCGCTGAATTAGACGATTTCAGCTAAAAACTTATTTACTGTTTTACTGAATAAACTGAGTGTCTGAGGGTGAGTAAATTAACAGAAAAATTTTGGATGAAATATTCCTTTAATATTTCTATTAGCTCTTTCCTCCACATTGACAGAATTTTTCGGCTTTCTGTGTTTTCACTGGTATACAGTAGGAGGCGTTATTAAACATCTTCTGAAAGAGTTGAACATCTGGATCAAAACACAGGGAAGAAGCAGAAAAAAGCTGTTGTGTATGTAAGCAGATGCATATGTAAAATAACGTGATCATCAAACATTAATCATTACATAAATCAAAACTGCCTAACTTTACAGAATGAAATGATGATGCAAGAAGTGGTTTAGGACTGTGAAAGCTTTGGATGTATTGATGGAAGCAGTCTCTTCTATGTTTTGATCATCGTTCTAAATCTGAACCAGACGTAGTCTTTTACAAAAACAAAATTTTCTCAGCTTTTTGTTCAAAATGTTGCTTTTTTTTCATGATACTTACCCACATTAAAGTGTTGATAAAAAAAGATTGCTTGAAGCTAGAATAAAACTTTTTTCCCTTTCCTTTAAAAAAACAAAACAGAGGCTGTGTTTTTTGTTCTGACTTATTGCATGTTAAGATATTAATACAACAAAATATTCAGCACACACTTCTTGTCAGAAAAGGATACATAAAGTATTGTCTTTTGTTGTTATATATTATGGTTTGTGTTACACGTCTAAAGATGTCTTATGCATCTCACGACTATGTTGGGTATGAAATAATGTCTGTGTGCATGTGTTTAAAACAACAAACTGATGATTTATATGCTTAATGATCTATAATTGTATATACATTGTTGTGATTGATTGTGGCTGGAATTATTAAGAACTTGGTAAGAAAAAAATAATCAAATACAGAAAGTTCAAAATTCGTTTCTGGAATTTTTTATTTCTAGAAATTTTTCACATCTTCAAAACTGAAAGTGTAATTTAAGTTATTTTCGGTGTGATCAGGAGAAGATGCCTCAAAACGCGTATCCGCGTTAATCGACCTCAGAGGGTTAAACATAGGCCACTGAATGTAAAGTAAAGTTATTGTTAGACTCTGTGTTGTGTTTTCTTCCCCATGGCCATGGCCTCCCAGTCTGCCTGCTCCGCCATGGCCTCCCAGTCTGCCTGCTGCGCCATGACCTCCCAGTCTGCCTGCTCCGCCATGGCCTCCCAGTCTGCCTGATCCGCCATGGCTCCCCGAAATGCCTGATCCACCATGGGTCCCGGAACGGGTACCGCCTTGGAGGCCCTCCGTCCCTGGAAGCCTGTCCTGAGAGGCCTCCTGAGTGCCCACCCCCCCTCCCCGTTGGTTGTTATGATGCGCGTGGACACGCCTTCCGGGAGGGGGGAGTAATGCCAGAATCTGTTCCTGTCTTGTGTTGTGTCTTGATTCCTTTATGTCATTAAAGACTGATGATTAAGATTCTCCTCGTTCCTTGCTCCTTGTTCCTCGCTCCTCACAGTAGGCACACCGTGACAGGTATGTAATGTCACTGTAAACTTACATCATTTACAGGAGGTATATACTTTAAAATAACTATTTGTATCATTACATGACACATACATCTTCAAATAATATATCCATCACATTGAATGTTGAACTTTTTTTTTATTTTTTTTTATTTTGGCGCAGTTCACTGTAAAAATAGTTGCATTCTGAAATTGAAATATATATGCATCTTCATGACTAGACAGACACCGGTGAGTTTCTCTTTATTCTAACGCACTAGGTTTCTCTATAGATGCAAATCACTCAACCGGAGGTAATCCTGTCAGATCGTCCCTTTGAGCTAGCGTGTAGGGTCAGCCAATCTGGTTTCGCCCGTTAAAGTTAACCTTTTCAAATAACAGTCGCGATCCCGGACAGCGAGTGACTTTACATATGCAGCTAAAATCGTATTTTCTCCAGTCATTGTTAAAAACAAAAACAAGCTGACAAACTTCATAGCTAGCGTTAGTGAAGTGGTCAGGGGAACCTTTCTTCCTCCACCTAAGCTCTGCCCACAGAAAAATTTCACAATGTTTACTAACAGAAAAAGGGTATATTACAGACCCATTTTAAATCTTCTGTTTGTATATATATATAAAACAAAAAAGTTGTGTCTGTTCAATTTGTGCTCCTTCCTGCAAAAAAAATTAAATTATATATATATATATATATATATATAAATGTAGGATATCAGACCGAATCAGACAATCTAAGATTTGGTCAAAACCGAGTTGAGGCACGAGGAGTCACAAAAATTCCACAGAGGCCCAAGACAACAGGATATCATAAATCAGACCCTAGCCCTTCTGAAGCAAGCCTAAACCTAAACCTAAACCCCTGCCACAGAACAGTTTTCAACATCGTCTCAGTGATCCGCCATAAAACAGTGATTCTGTCCTAATTCCCTTGCATATTAATGGTGGAGTTCCCTTTAAAATCTTAAATGATTCCCTTTGAGCTAAATTATTGACCTGTTTCCCTTTACAGTTATTGGTGGAGAATGCGGGCAACGATCCACCTAAAGTGTGAGCATAAACCAAGTTATTTCATATTTCCATTGCTGCGGATGAAATATGAGAAGCTTCTGTTGAGACTGGTGTGTGTGTGTGTTGCGTGTGTGTGACGTAAGCAGCGCGCGACCGCTTGAATGAATGCAGAGAAGGCTGTAACGCGAGTCCGCCTCTCCGTTGTTAAACTGCAGTAAGTGTAACTTCAAGTTAACATCTGAGATCGTACAATAAGGTAGAAATTGAGCGTGTTCCTCATTTTTGTAATGCCTTGTTTTATAGCTGAATTGATTCATTGCGTGTTCCAGTGTTTTCAATCGCTATTCTCCCTGAATCTCAGGCACCGTTAGCTGAACGACGCTAAACTGTAGTAGTTAAAAGGGAAATAAATAGGTGGATAAAGAATAGTTTGAGCGTGTTCCTCAATCTTCTTATCAAAGCCTTATTATTCATAGTTTGATTTCAATGCGTGTCCCATTGTTATGCCATGCTATTCGATTCCCTGAGTTAAACATTACGAGATAATGCTTGTCTGCCTGTGTCTGTTCACAAAGTAAATTTAATTTAGCTTAACACTGCGTGTAAGTGAATATTAACTTTGCACCAACAGCGAAGAAAACCTGTTGTTTAAGTGTCCAGAGAAACTGGCACAGAGATTTAAAGATCTGCTGAGATCGTTATCACTGGTGCCCCTAACTGCAGCACAAAGCTGCTATTTGAATAAAGTTAAACTTAACCCCGAACGAACCGAGAGTTTAAGCGCCACATCGCAAAATCAACCAAAAGCGGTGTTGTTATTTGTACAGTGTTGAAATGCGCCGACATTTCGTGTAATACGCTTAACTGTACTTGCAATGCAACTATTCACAGGCTAGCCACTAGAGCGTGTGTTGGTTGCCATAGTTACGATCGTGACACGGAAGTCTGAACCTACTTCCGAAGCAACTCTGAACTGCGCACGCGCAGCACAGCGACGCTATTGTAAACAAACCCCACGGGTGGCTAAGCTAACCAAACAGTTGTTTACATTGAAGTCTATGCTAAAGCCTTTAGCCTCAAAGGTTAGCAGTTAGCATTAACATCCAGTAGTTGAATTCAGTGTCTGTTTGGGCAACGATAAAGTGATTTAACCCTTTAAACATCTAAACTAATACACCTGTTGGTCTCTTTCTCTCTCTTATTCCTCCCTTTTCTCACTTCTTACCACTTTATCTTACTTTACTAGAAAGGGAAATACTAACTCACAATTATTAATTGTGCCAAATTCAAATTTAATTAAAACATTAAATTTATTTGGAATCATTCAAATGTTCCCCTCCGATCATTTCATATGATCATTATTTCTAGTATTCCCTCTTATGCCTAATCATCTTAGGTACGAATAAGCCTTGAACTTTAAAGTTTAATAAACTTATTATACCTAATTGATTTGATTACCTATCAATAAATTCTATTCAGACTTATACTTACTCATTATTTTATTGCGTTTTACCCCTTTTCTTCCTGTGGTTATACACTTAGCCATTATTGTTTTATTTTGATTTCCTTCGTTATTTAATTTCCTTTCTACTTACTTTGCCCATTTATTACTTTTAATTTTACTTTACCATTCTTTTTTCCTCTGGAGATCCTAGCTTGGGAACGACACACCCAAGCCCTAATATGAGACAGTGTTATCCCTCGCTACGAGTTCAAATAAATTAGAAAGACAACGTTCTTTCCCTCAAATTTTATTTTGTTTGATTAGTTGTGCAGCAACTAAGAACAACAACTATTCTACTCGTAGTTGAGCATAACAGCATCAGAGCCTGCTAGTGGACACGATCCACTCAGTTTACTGAGTAAACTCCTGAGCTCTCCTTCCCTTTTCTCCTGTCACCTCCTGCTTTCTTTCCTCTTTACTCTTCACATGCGTAGGGACCTGTAAGAACCATCAATCAATCCTATGTGAATGAAATACATAATCTTGTTGAAAAAGACGAATCATCCGTATGAATTTGATTGTAATCAACCCCTCCTTGTTCTTCCTAACCTCCCTACATTTGGAAACGCAATCCAAATTTTAGAATCTCATCCAATGCTGAGATCGATTTAATAGAGATAAGTGTTGAACAACTGTCGCCTTCGCAGCCTCCCTGGTGAGCGGCACAACTGTAAGGTGTACGGTGTCAATCCTGTCAGACTAAGAAAAGAGATATCAACATTATTATTGCATTCTTTTGTCTAAAACAGAGATTTAATAATATTGTTTACCTTCTTGATAACCACATTAAATTGAAAAAAAAATTCTCAACCAAAAAGGAATTGTTTTTTTTTTTACTGAATTGTTTTGACCTTTTTCTCTCTTTTTCCTATTCCTCGTTAGAAGTGACGAAGTCTTCGCATCCCTAGTCTACTTAGACACCCCGAGACCAACACAATCATCACCACACTTCACTAGTGGGTCACAGTCACTGATACCACACTTAGTTGTCCCACCACACATAGGCTTCTACTCTACACAGATCTGTGTCAGTCTCTCTTCTCCCCAGCGTGCCAAAATGCCGCAGACAGCAGACCCCATTGCCCATGGGGAAGATGTGAATACTTGGCTGAGAGGCATGACAGACAGCCTCACCCCCAAGACATTTGAACTGTTATTATTTTTAATAATAATCCTAATCCTGAGAAGATTCCTGACACAAGATTCAAGACAGAACAACAACCACGAGGAGCTAGTCAAAATCACCAGCTCCCTAAGCTACGCCTTCACAACCCAGCTGAAACTGAGCGACAAGCACATCACCCACCTTCAAGAGGAGCTGACACGTGCTCAACGCCGCATAGACAAGCTGGAAGTGAAAGTTCAAGATCAACTCAAAGCACCCAACGAGAGGGAGCAGGAAACAACGGAACAAGTTATGAAACTCCAAGCAGCCCTGGCAGCAGCGCAGCTCGACCAGCAACATTCAAAGGCTGTCCAGAAAGACCTGGTAAACAGACTCCAGTATGCCGAACAGCTACTAGAGAAAGCCAAGAATCACATCAGAGACAAGAATGTTGAAATCAGTACCCTGAAAGACCACCTTGAAAGGTATAGAACTGAAATGGACAATCTGACCCAACAACTAGACGATACCAACGATGAGCTCTACATGGTCAGAAAAGAACTCAAAGATGCTTATGAGCTGAAACAAGAGCCAAGAAAAGAGAAGCATCTCTCAGCCTCACCACTGCTGAGCAGAGCAGAGTCCCATATCCAAGAACCGGCATATGACGAAAGGCGCGAAGGGCCACAACCCAAAACCTCACCTGCCTTCGCCACACAAGCCTTTCCTGCCAACGAAAGAATACCTCCCATCCAAGCAGACCTTGGAGCTGCACATGGGATGACCATCAAAGACCTCAACAAGCTGTCTAAAAACATCAGCAGTTTCAACCCAAACTCTGCAGAGGGCCACGACATCCAGGCCTACCTGCAAGATATCGAGTTTTATCTGGAAATGAGACCTCGTGTGACTGACAGAGACAGGTTATACCTCCTAAGAGCCACATCAAGTCCTGAGGTACGAAACTTCCTAGATCGACAGCCCAGTCAAACAAAGTCAAGCTACCAGCTACTTCGTGAGGTCCTTATTAAAGAGTTTACAGACCCTGAGTCTGAACTTGGACTGTTAACTGCTTTGGAGATCAAGCAAGGTCGACAAGAGGTTCCACAAGCTTACTACAACCGACTCCGACAAGCCTACTTTGGTGCACACAACGAACCTGACCTCGAAGAGGATGTGAACTTCAAAAGCCTCTTCCTAAGAAACCTGCACCCTGGAGTCAGCCACCATCTAGGCGTCATGGCCTGTCCACGCTCCATGACCATCCAACAGTTGCGTGACCTAACACAGAAGGCCTACAACAAGCAGAAGATGGCCTCAAAGAAAGGTAACAAAACATCCACACTCTTGAACTCTGTAACCAAAGACTCAAGCCTTGCACTGGACGACACCCAGTGGCATCACGACACCAGAGTCTTCCATCAAGAGCACAGAGAACGTGACCCCCATGTCCACGACAGCTTTCAGCCCAGCCGCTGGAAAAATCCATGGGAACAGCCACGCTTCTCAAGAAACCCAAAAGATAGGAACAACTGGAAACCTAACCAGACATCCAAAGGTAATCGCCTGACTCATCCAAGAGCAACTCGTGTGAGTAAGCGACAGCAAAACCCACCTCAGCACCACTCAGACATGCACAGTGCTGAGTATGCAGAAGAACAAGACAGCTTACCATCAGAAGACATGGAACAAGTCATGAGACAAATGAAAGAGTTCCTTCAAGAAAAGCTGAACATGGATGACCACAAAGTTGAGTCATGCTCGCTGTGACCAGCGACAGAACGGAAGGCCGGTGATCACCTGGTACACCACATCAGAGATGACAAGCACCTGTTCAACAACCACCCAGAACGAGCAAGTCTCTCACGGCCAACTGTTGATGAAACTCTGAGGTACCAAAGAACATCACCTCAGTCACCCATCGCTCAATAACAAACTGTCAAATCAACTCCAAGAACCACATTCCTGTCTGTGCAACAGCAACCACCCAAGCACAGAAGGTCAGAAAGTCTGCCACAACCAGAAGGCATCACAAGAGAAATGCAACATAGGAGACAAAGTTTGCACCCCAGCTTCACACAGCCATGCCAAACTAGCTCTGACTGTCTGCTAAAGAACTTCCTGCCTTGCTGGACTGACCCCCATTAGATCATGGACACGCCCTCATCCAAGCCAAGGATGCAGAGAGCCCGTCTTCACTGACATACAAGAAAAGGGGGGAGACAACACAGACTGAAACAGATCTGACCACACATACACAACATTACCTACACCCAGAGGTAACCACATCTACTGATAACACATTCAACTAACATTTTCTTCCCACAAGTAGAATATCCAAATTTTAGCGTAACATAAAGTTACATATGCCCACCATGAAGAAATATGCAGCCATCCTCACAATAGGTAGAACACCTGACACTAATTTAAGGTACATGACACACTAGCTGCACACGACATCCTAGCTCAACAGTAGTTGTAAGCCATGCTAGGAAAATCCACAGCAGCTTAGGTTTGTTTGTTCTTCTTTTACCTATCCTGATTCCTTCCTCTCTTTCCTTAGTAGGTGAAACACCTAGACACCCTGCAAGGGTCAAAGGTCTGATATTAGGATTGACTCACCACACCTAATATCCGCCAGTAATTCTAAAGCTGAATGGAAGCCAGAAAGCTCCATGCACGATAGGTCAATTCATTTCATTGCAAATGATGTTACTAGAAAATTAACGGTAAACGTTTTAAATTAAGACAACCTAGAAGAACCAAACAAAGTTATCCGCAAAATTTGATTGACGAATCAACGTACGGAACCAAATTAGAACAATTTCCAGATTGAATTAAAACATATTTCAATTTACTAAACTATTTTGACTAATTGAACTTTACCACCTGTACCTAAATAACCTGTTGCCTGCACCAGTACAGTAACTGTCATGGAGGTGTCTTGTTGTTTGCTGTGGTTGTCTGCTTCTTCTGCCTTTGTTTCTCCAGCGCTCGCCGATGTCTTCAACTCAACACATCGCCGATCGAAGGGGGGTATGTAGGATATCAGACCGAATCAGACAATCTAAGATTTGGTCAAAACCGAGTTGAGGCACGAGGAGTCACAAAAATTCCACAGAGGCCCAAGACAACAGGATGTCATAAATCAGACCCCAGCCTCTCTGAAGCAAGCCTAAACCTAAGACCCTGTCACAGAACAGTTTTCAACATTAACACAAAAGAACACTTATTGACAATTCCAAGGAGATTGTCAATTTTGGGGCAAGTTATCAAGAATAATGGTCAAAAGAGATGACCGCATGACTATCACACGATAGTAACTACAGTCACAAGCTCCTCGTAAATTGACTTCCCCCACTTCACGACAAGAACAGACAGACTAAAATTCCTTACAGACATTTTAATCTCTGGTCTCCTTACGTCCACAGAATGCCAAAGAAACTTCATTTCCATGCA